CAGCACCATGGCAACTGCAATAGAGGCTAAGATGACACCTTCCTTGGCTGTAAGGGATAGGAGGTTGTAGTTCTGCTTTAAGAGTGGTTTTACCAATAACAGTGATTTCATTGGTTTATAGGCAGAGTTAGGGTGAAGTCCCAAGGTGGGGAAGGGTCAAAGTCAAGGCCATTAGCTTAGATCTTCAACAGTAGTGATGAGTGGGGCCTTGGTGTGAATCCAGTTTACCTAAGTTCACTTACCCGAAACTGTGACTGACACTCCCCCACCTCAAACAGTTGTGGCAGGGGCAGTCCTCACCTAGCGGCTGCATGCTCCAAAGGGGTGGGGAATGCTCCTACCACAACTGATTTGGTGAACTCAGGAGAACTCAGGGGAACTGGGTTTGCACTAAGCCCCTAAACATAACTACTCTACAGGTGTGTAGGGGACATAAAACAAGACATTTCCAGGTAACATGTGCTTCGATTTATGTAGTTGTTTTATATGCTTTGCAAACCTTAAGGGTGCATTTACTGTACACTGGAATTGGTGCCAAAAACGTGAGTCAATAGAGAACGTGTTGATATCTGAGTTTTTTTGTGGTTTTATTCTTACATTAAGCTGTGTAAGGTATTGGTTCTGTCTTGCATTGACATGCGTTAGCAGTTCACACCAATCCATTTCCGTTGTGCTGAAAAAAATTTAGAGCTTGCTCTACTTTTTTTCTTCAGCAGAGGGCATGACAATGCAATGCAATAGACTGGAGGGAACTACTATCATTTACACCCATTCATTTTCAGATGTCCTTATGTTGGCATCTGAAAAACGCATCTGGTGTGAATGGGGCCTAAGGCCACATTAAGGTCCCATGTTCACTGTGTGTGTTCACAGTAGCAGGTGGTACCTTGTTACCACGCATGGCACTATTTACCTTTCTTTTCTCTTTAACAAAGAAAAAAAACTATATTGAAGTGATAATATAGTTCTCCTATTCCTATGCACCTCAACAAAGCAAAAGCAAACAGTGACTTCAGATGAGCTTCGGTGTATTGAAGAAAACTCAGCTTGTCTGCATTTTTCTGCTTTGCAACCCACCTGAAGTTAGCATTGCAGTCTGAATAGGGCACATAGCATTGACGTGCGGTACCTCTGGTTTCCGGGTGAGGCAATTCCCAACCTCGTCCCCAGCATGTCCCGTCCCGTATCGACCAACGCCCCGCCCCCAACCACGACCCCAACCTAGTGTGAAGGAGGAAAGGAGGAGGCATCGAGATCGATGGCCTCAGTGGGGGTTTTCTTCTTTTTTTGAATGGACAGCTTGGACCAATGGTGCTTTGCCATTGGCCCAAGCCATCCACAGAGCTCACGCCTCTAACAAAGAGTAGAGGCTGTGACAGCTCTTGCCTCAATGGTTAGGTTACAGAAGCAATGGGAAAGCCCGCTGCTGTGTATCCTTACTACCTGTCAAAATCTGGATGCAGCGCTGCCTGTAATTAACAGGCAGCACTCGTCCATGACAGGTTGCACAGCGGGAAGGCTTTCCCTGCTGTGTAACCTGATAAAAGACAATCTGAATGGAGAAAAAGCTTTCAGCTTCAGACATGAAGCTGACAGCTTTTTCCGCCATAATACTAGGTGAGGCTCTGCCTCACCTGGCCCTGGCACATAGAATACAATTGTTTTCTATGAACCCTTACAGTGGCTGGGGTTGATTGAGTACAAGAAAATGTCAGTCATTGCGCATAGTGGGGATGGGCCCTCACATTAGCTTCCTGTGTTTAGGTTATTTAAAAGCAGGAGAAATGTTTTGGGAAGTATAAAAAAACTTTATGCTTCCCAGATCAAGTCCTACATTTAGATGTACTTGCCTTTACCACAATTTACTTGAGTTTACAAGTGTTTACGTATGTTTAGACGCATTCAGAGTGTCTAATCTGCCCCTAGACATGCAGAATTAAATTTTCTCTAAACACAGCTAAACTAAATGCACCTAAACGTAGGTAAAAACACAGTGTAAATTATACAATTGAAATACAATACATGCATTTTTATGCTTTTAGAAATGTCCTATAAATGCATAATAATGCAGGTTTGCCAACACCATTGGGAATGATGTGGAACACATTAACTTTAAAGTGACATTAAAGTCACAAATGTCCCGTCCCCCCCCCCCTATGCTGCTTTAAGGACTTACCTTAAATGAGGGCTCTTGAGCCGATCATCTTCTTCCTTCCACTTGTATTCGGCAATCCCTCCAGCGCTGGTACCGGTCTCTAAACCAGCACAGACTCCAGCCTCTTCCTGTCCCACGGTGTCTGTCCGACGTGCACGCTCCCAGCTGCGTGAATTCAGTCCCACTGTGTCTCTCCACTTCTCCCCGCCGAAGATTTCTACTGTGCATGCACCCACCCCATCTCGAGCGGCTGTGCAGGATGAAGCTTCAGATCTTCATGCAGGAGAGACACATTTATGTTTTAACTTTTTTGGTAACTTTTTTTTTTTAATGTTTTTGCATATATCTACTGCTTGCTTGCAGTAGATATATGTAAAAAAAAACGAGTTTAATTATACTTTAAGGTACCTGGAGCAATGGGTCGGTTTTCAGCCAAGAAAGTGTATTTCAGAATCTTCTCTTTGACCCGTGTATAGAGCATCTAGCACTTCAGAGGGAGACAGATATTGAATGATTCATTATTGTTAGCCAGCAGAGGAAACTTAATTAAAACCTTTTTGTAACATTTTATCAGAGGTCTCAGCTGCATACATATGAATATGTATGCCTCTATTCTACAAGGGAGAATAGAAGCATGTTTAGTGAGGCTGGCAAATGTCTATAGTGGTAAAATTTGATGACTGGTCTCTGTTGCAGATTGCCAACATAAGGCCAGCTTTAGTTTACACTCAACATTCAGTGAATCAAACAGGTTGTAAACCTGAGTTTACCACACATGGCAGGAGCGTATTTTTCAATTGTGAATAATCATATCCTCAAGAGATCCCTTTTTACTCAGCATCAGTATCCATTATACAGTGTATGATTATACCCAGTAGACAGGCAGTGAAAGGTAGCGCTGTCATCTTCCAAACGCAGAAGTGGAAGTGATAGAAATCTTCTGAATATATTTGCTACAAATATTTGAAACGCTTACTTTGTGTGACTGTTAAAATAATTTGTGATAGGAGGCAGTTGTCCTTTGTGTCTGTGCAGATTTAACAGTTTTAAAACATTTAAAGTGCCCAGGCTATGCATAATAAAGTTTTCACATATTCTAAGCTAACAATAAAAGCACTTTAAAACAAGTGCACATTCATCTTTGCACCTGCCGGCATTTTGGTGAAATTGATCTTTAAAGTAAAACACAGGCAATGAAATCACAGTTCCGCCTTTATTTTCCTTTATTTTTTATGGAGAGCAGAATCTTAGCAGCTTGCCAGCCTTCTAGTATAACACACTGCATGTATTTCTAAGCTATTGCAAACCAACTGCAACTGGACTTTAGAGTCTTTGTTCTTATCTATGATTTTGAAAATAAACTACGTCACAGCACAAACAGCTGGAGAAGTTTGGGATGATTAGTTTTAAAACTGTTTTGCTGCTTGCTAAAAATGTATTAATACTATACGTGATAATAAAGTCAAAAGAATTTTAAGCTATTTCAAGTGCTGATTAAATCTCTTACAATGAATGCTGCTCCTTGAGGTTTCTCGTTTCCTGCACTGGTTCTAATATCCTGTTTTAGGGTGGCTTCCTTACCTTGCAGAGACCTATAAAGCTATCCTTGTGTGTGTGCTAATAAGCTGTGTGTGTCTCTACAAACACACAGACACAGCAAGGTAAGCCCCTTTCCTGTTCCGCTGCTGCCCACTCATCCTTTCTCCAAGCTAGTAGATGGACGGCTGCTGGGGTCTGTGTTGTCCCTTGTGAGCTTGTACTGGACAGGAAGTTCAGGGAAGTCGAGCTGGGAGAGTTGGAGCCAGCTTTTTGGCAAACACGTAACTAATACTTTGCTTTGCAATCTGTACAAAATAAATCAAGGCAGCAGGACAATCCATCAACACTTTATACCTGCAGTACGCAGAGTACAACCTGATAACATGTTGCTGTGACATTTAGAGATGTGCTGGTAGCATTGATTATGAAAAAAATAACTTTTATAAATATAACTAAAATAAAGTATAATTTATCTAAATATGGTGATAGAAAAGAGTAAGAGGTGTATTTATAAACAATTCGTAGAGCCGTTCTTGTGCGAATGGATGGGAACATGAATGTTATTAGCATATATTCTTTCCAGGTCTAATGGAGAGAAAAATGTTTTTTTTTTAGGATTTTTAAACACTTTAAGGGTTATCAAATCTGGTCTCTACATATACATTTTTACTCTTGGAAGGAAAATGTTATGCTTTGCTTTCATGTATGTAGTTTATAATGCGCATAAAGTACATTAAAAGAAGAGACCACCTACATTACAAGTAAGGTGGTTTTTCAAGGGTTCTCTGCTGAATTATAAGAGAACAGTTTGGAACTGTGTTATGTTTTCAGCTTTCTGGAATCTGTTGAATGAATGGGACAAGTCTCACTTCTATTGTCTTCCATTCTCTCTTGTCCTCACATGTGCACCATAGATGGTGAGGTTATCACACATAATGGATCATTATTTTGATTGTGCACCAGTATCCCGTATAAGAAGGGACACTCTTAATTGCTGTTGTCTTTTCTTGCTTTTAACACATTGAATATCAGAAGTACAGGCCCTTGCCAATGTATATAGTTCTGAGATATACAAAGTAGTCTACCAATTAGCAGCACAACAATTCAGTCCAAGAGACAGCAGGGGGGTCTTTGTATTGACAGCAGTAGGAAAGGTTAAAAAAAAAAAGCTGATCAGCTGCTGGGCTCTTGAAATACTAGCAAAAGCTGTTATTATTTACATTATAATGCATTGCTGGGACTTGTAGTCCTGCATAGTTGGTGGTATTCTGCATTGCTGTAAAATCCATTAACTATAATGCCCGCCATGCCCCCTCCCACCCCAGAACGCAGTAAGCTGGACGGGTTGCAATTCAGTGTGTTCCAGCACTAAATCGGCCGGAACACACTGGAGCTGATGTGAACTAGCCCTGAAAATACGCGGGAGTTACATCATTAGTGGCCTCAAATGACCATAGAGGAGTGAATCAGGACCCAGAAAAAAGCTGTGGGGAATAAGGCAGCAGAAGGTGGAGTGATTGAGAGCCTGGACCTGCCAGCGTTGGAGGAAGGAACGCTAAAAGGTAAGTGTCTGCTGTGGATACTTGCACACTATTGTAAGAGCTCCCCTCACTCACAAGAATTTAGGTCTGGTTTACGTTTTCAATTAAAATTTCAAAGAGAAAATGTACTTAGTGAATCATGCAAGAAAAAAAATCATTTTTTAAAATTCTTCCTGCCCATGATTGGTAATTTTTCACCTCATTTACTAAGAGGAGTGCAAATTCACCCTGAAAGTGAGCATCCTCTCCTTCTTTAGTAAATCAGCCTCAGTGTAAGGAAGAGTTGAAAACTATGGGGTCTATTCACGAAGCTGCCGAAGGATCTGGCCGTAGCTTAAGAGGCAGGGCAGCCGTCTCAGAGGTTCAGAAGTCTGCATTCAGAACTAATAAGGTATAAAGTATAAGTTTCTACATTTCTAAATGAAAAGGTTTAAAGTTATATATTTTATTTTATTTTTATAGAATAGAATTGTATTGATATAAAATGTGAGTGCACACTAGAGAGTGATTTAAAATTTAGCAGCATATCTCATGTAAAAAGGTACAGATGTAACATTTAAAATCAAAGACAGTCTGCCTGTAAAGTTTGCAAGAGAGAGAATTCCCACCATTTAAGCATTCTAAAGTACTATAAATAAACAAACAGTCACACCCACAGTACCATCACTTAAAGGAGAACTATGACATGAGTGATTTCCACTCATCTCATAGTTCTAAGCCGACCTGTGACAATGAGACTGTCACAGGTCGGCTCAGTAGATCGGGAGGTGAGGGAACACATACCGGGTTCCCTCACCTCTCGATCCTGTCACGGCTCTCTGCCGTGACAGGGGGAGGGGCTGGATTCCCCTCTCCCCGCTCCGATCTGCCAGCGCTGACTGGCTGAACGGACGGGGAGGGGGCGGGTACAGCTGGCTCTGCCTCTAGATAGGGTGGCTACTTTTCTACCCCATAATCCGTGTGTGTGTTGTAAAGTAGCCACTGATCCAAGCTCTCTCATGTGATGGGCTATAATCTCAATACAAATTAGAAAACTAAATGTGAGATTGTAGTCCATCATGGGAGCGTTCTTAGAGCGGTGGCTTTTCCCATTAAAAAGCATTGGGACATTACTATTGGCTATTTCAATTTGCAACTTTTTTACAGCAGCAGAGCCGCCGGACAATGCCAGCTCCTCACAATCGTTTTCTATTTACTTTTTTCACTTTTTTTCTGTTCTGCTCGGTACCTCTGAGGGACCGAGCAGAACAGCCGAGCCAAATGCCGCTCAGCGGCATTCGGCTATTCACTCACTGCTGTTTGGCATCTTTAAGTGGACGAACAGCAGTGAGAAGCCTGCCGGAGGTTCGGCTCAGCCGATTCAGATGTTGGATAGGCTGAGTCAAACTCCTTCTGCACCCCTATGTCTGGCTTTTATAGCTGCATCCCCCCCACTGGGGAAATTTATTCTCATCATTGTAGGAGTGAACATGAGAAAAAAATGAAAAAATCTGAGTTGTCACCAGAACAGAAATAGAAAAACAATGGGGACATTTATTGCAATGGCAGCTATCTACGAGAGGATTTCCCTCACTTTGGCAGAAAAAAAACTAACAAAACAAGTTTTTGGCTTTTCATACACTTAAATTTTTGGAGCCCTTTTCTAAGGCCCGTTCAACCATGCTGGTGCAGTAACATTCAAGGAGCGTGCAACATGCAAGTGTAAAGCAGTGGCATTTATTCTGAATTGCACCCTAGCGCACCTTGTGGTGGACATACATTGCAGTGCAATGTGTGGCAATGCACATACATTTCAAGAAATGGTGCGTGCGCTCTTTTTTGGCAGTGCACCACATGTTAGCGCAGTGCCGCGTCCATTGGCAGGTGCATTAGGGTATAATAAAATAATTCATTCAGACGGTGACGGCAGAAAGTGCGCATACAAGTGCGGGCACCTGCACCCACACAGATGTCCAGGTTCGGGTGTGCGTGTGACTGTGTGTAATTGCATGCAGCCGTGCCCTCCTATAGGGAAGAGCAGACTGCTGCGTGCAATTACACGCAACATCTGTCCCTTCCAGGATCGGGTCTTTTTACGGACATGCACGTCTGTACATCTGAATGAGCCCTTTATACACAAAAATGCCTAGTGATTCCAGTCTAATATTGTGTAACTGTTTTTTTTTAATGATTTTTGTCTTGACTGAAGTTGTCCTTTAATTAGCTAGCTGTGATGTTTCAAAGAGAATTATCTGAAATGTCGTTTTGTGTTTGTCTGATGGTAAGAGTGCAGACTTTCTTTTTTATATTAAAGCCTGAAAGTAATAGTGTCACTGATTTTTTCTTTGCTGTAAAATTAAAATTTAATCTTTGAAATCTTTGCAAGATGGAGCAAATAACAATGATTAGGCAAACACTTTGTTATTGTCGCCTCTAGTACTGCAGTTGCACAATACCTAATAAAAGTGATTTAATCGCGCTGTACAGGCTTGTAGTGTAATATCCAATGATATTGCTTTTCTGTATCATGGATCATATAAATTATGTTCATTGGATAGGAAAGACTACATGGCTATCGCCACACAATATAGATCACAGTGAATGTTGTCAATAAAACGGCATTTAATTTAATGTACAAGATATATGGATGATAGCATAGGGCAAATATACTTTGCTGAGATCCATGGCATGTGAAAAGCCTTGTGACAGCTATGTCTTAGAAACATGCTGTGTGCAGGAATACTTCGGAGCTTGGGGGAACAGGAGCAGTTGTAGAGACCTACGTTACTGAGCACTGGTTTACCATTATGTCTTTTTAGCAATATAGCTTTTTTCTTTCTACTATGGGTTTATTTCGCACAGTAACCCATTGCAACTAGATTTCAACTGGAACCTTAAAGTAGCAATGAAAGGTCATTGCTTATTGGTTGCTATGGATAACTGTATTTTTTCTATTACTTTATCAAAGGAAATCTGTACGGAGAAAAATATATGGGTTGTCATTTCTAACCTCTCCTTTAAAATGCGGGTTACCTGGCTGTCATTATAACAGGTAACTGGGTTCAATATTAAGCTAGCTCCGTCCCGCTCTCTGACCTGGAACAAGTAGGCAGATCACAAATTCTGACTTTACTTGCTGCACTGCTTTTCTGGGTTAGTGATTCAGAAAGTACTGAAGCCAGAGACAACTGACATTTTCAGAAGGAGGTCAGCAATGGCAGGCTACACCAGTCTATCTCTACATGTTTCTGTAACTAAGACTAATATTGATTGAGAGAATACATTGTAGAGTTTAGATTTAAAAACTATGAAAGGAGGCATGGACTTAGGGGATGATTTTTAAATGAGGTGCATAGGAATTTCCTCAGTGCTATCTAGGGGTGCCAATGCTGTGCGACCAGCATCTGCCCATCTATACTCCAAGGTTCATGGGCAAAAATGAGGGTAATGGGCCTCACAGCAATTGCCACCACTGATCTCCCCATTTCTACACTTTAATTACAGTTCATATGGGTTATGGAGTAATATTTTACATAGTATTACATAGTAATACTACAATATTAGTAATATTGCATACTGGTGTTTAGTGATCATGTTACACAGTATCACAGGGAGGGGGCAGCTGTGCTACAGCCTGCTTTACAATCCGACCCAGTGTCAGATTGAGTTTTATGTGGAATACATTTTGAATTTCCAGGATTCAGGTTTAGCAAAAAGTGAAAAGAAATTAAGAAAACCTGTAATGTGAGTCATGAAAATGTACACACATATACATCATCACTGCACCTCTACATTACCACGATAAATGCTAATCACTTACAAAGGTGGAAATGGACTTTAAAGTGTTTCCAATACACTTCCATTTAAACATGGCATTTTAGTCATACTGTATATTTACCACCTTCAGCACAGCTGTATAACCTTTTAATGACGTAAGCATTTTTTCTGTGGTTGATTTAGTCATTTGAACAGTATTTATAGTATTATCTAGAAAAGGAGGAAACATGGAGCTGAGTAGACTAAAAATATTCTGTTTTGAGACTCCCATGGTTTTTAGCTCATAGAATAGGTTTTGATTGTAAATTTTTCTTACTTGGTTGGACAATATGCAATTGCTTGAAGTTATCTGTAGCATTTTATTTTATGCTCAATAAAGAAAAAATTGTACAAGCACCTCACTTAGAAATTGTTTGAATGGAAGACATTCCTGAAGAAAATATTCTGTTGCATTCAATGATCAAAACATTGATTTTTTTCACATCTTATTTTTTCTCTTTTACAGTGATAGAGAGCCGGGCAACGATGGATAGTATACAGCGATTTTCATCAGTCCCAGTCTATCTACCTGTGAACAATCATGTCTGTAATTCTGAAGTCTCCTTTTTTCTTAAAGAGGCCAATCAAAACCTTATGAAAAACTCAAGTCTGCAGTCCCGAACAGAAACCCTTTTCATATATAAAGCCAAGATGCCACCAGTCATAAATGCCACCTATGGACCCTATTCAGCAGAACAAACTGTGTCAAAAAATGTAATGATTACCTCAAGTACTTTCAGTTTCACCAACAAATTTACATTTAACTGGCAATTAAAAGCCCACATCATTGAGAGTTCCATATATTCTGACAAACCCAAAGTACAGACATTGTTTTATATCACAGGAAGAGACTGGGAGGACTACAATCCAGCAGAGATTTTACCATGCGTACGAATGGTCGCCACATTGGAAAACCGGGAAATTTCTTCAAGCTGTAGACTGAAAGGCAATCTGGGATTGTGTGTTGCAGAACTGGAGCTGCTACCCAGCTGGTTAAGTACGTCTCCTCCTACAGAAGACCATATTTACCCTGCTCCACCTCAAGGAATTCCTGTGGAACTGCATCAAATTGTCTACATGACCGGAGAAGATGAGGAATGTTCTGCAGAGGAGACTAAATGGTCAAACAGGATTCAGTCCAATAAAGATGCTGCCCACAAAGCCTCCAGTGCAATGGAAAGGTTTGGCAGTGTAATTGTTTATACCACCCGGTACACTTTGAGGATGTCTCTGCTAAGACTGGATAGCAATATTCAGATTCGTTACCCACCTGGCCCAGTAAAAGTGGGAGATGTTGTCACTTTCTTTGTGTCGATAGTTGGCGGATCAATGACACATCAGTTCATGTTAAGGTATGCTGCTACCATACCATGATATGTAGTATGGTAATGGATTATATTTTGAGTTTAGCAGTGTTAATCTTATTAACATATGCATATAAGTTAATTTTCAAATAAATATAAAATTGGAAATGGTTTGAATTGCATAGCAATATATAGAATGTGTTAAAATAACTCCAATACTCAAAGCATATAATGAGCACATGCACTTCAAATGTAACCATTTGTTAGACAAATACAAATGTTCAAATGAAATATCCCCATACATCAATTAATTACAATTGTATAATGCTAATCAGTATGCATCTTTAAAAAACAATATGGTACTGAATACGTTTTCATATTCAAGCTATGTTTATATACCCAGACCCAGAGGCCATGGTTATTTTAAACGAGTCTCAGACACTATTTTTTATATATTTATTATTGGTATTTATATAGCGTCAAAAATTTACGCAGCGCTTTACACAATTGCCAAATGTGCTTTAAAGCAGGGCTCAAAATTTCAAGTCCTGAGCTACTAGCCAGGCCTTAAAAGTTATTCGCCACCAGTTGCCCCACCTAACCCCTAACCTGCCCCAATTTTGAGAAAACTTTGCATAGAGAATTGGAAGGGTTAGCACCTTGGTCAGGTTTTTTTTCTGTCACCTTCTTAAGTGGGACGATTTCCTCTCTCTTCCTATGCCGGTGACACACAAGAAGTAAGATAGAAATGTCCTCCACAGTTAGGGGAAACCACCTTTGATAGTTCTCACTACACAAGGTGTCATTATAGAGAGATTTGTTTTTTTCCACCTATTCCTGTAACTGCACTGGACTGCATACACAATGTTGTTCATCTTGTGTTTTGGCGTTGGGTCTTTTGGGTCAGTTGTTGCCTCAGTGTATTGCTGGGTTTAACCCTTTCGCTGCCAAGCCCTCCGGAACATTTTTCAAATCAGCTGGCCAAGCCACCACCCTCACTGGTAATCTTGGCATTCTTTCCTCTTCTGTCTGTTTTGACAAAAGCCCTGTCTGGATACCCGAAAGTTTTAAGGGCCCCCTGATGTGTTTGAATTCCTTCATCTTGGCCTTTGTTCTGGTGGGAATTTTCTCTGCCCGGTGGTGAAGAGTCCTGATGAGTGGTGGGTGGTGGGAGTCAAATAGCAGGTACTGGTCCGTGTGTATTGGTTACCAGAATAGAAAGTAAAGGTGCCCATAAACTGCACGATTCTCGTACGAGAATCGCGGGAAATCCCGCGATCGTACGAGAATTGTGCAGTGTATGGAAGGCGTGCGACCGTTTCTACTGTAGGGGGCGGGCTTGCGATGATCGCAAGTACGATCTGCCTGTCCAAGATGGGCAGATCGTACGTTTTTTTAAGTACAAAAGTCTTGCGAGGGTTGTAAAGTGTATGGGCACCTTGCGAGGGAATATTCTCAATGGAAAAGGAGACAATATGTGTGTGCCCAACACACACACGGACCAGTACCTGGTATTTGACTACCACCACCCTCTAGACCACAAACTGTGTCCTCCCCTTCACATCAGGAGCCTTCTTCACATCAGAGGCATGACTTTGTGTAAAAATTTGAGGCACCACCGAGGAAACCAGAAGGCACACCAGGGTGTCGCCTTACCCTGGTTGAGAAAAGCTGCTTTAAAAGCATTAAAAATAGAGGCTTTAGAGGGACTTTACAGGTTTATTATTAAATGTTTGCCCAGCTATACTTTCATATACTCTTCAGCACCATCTAGGGGGTGCTAGTGCCATGCGAATGGCATCCACCAAAAGCTTTAAAAACAAACCAGTTAGTGTTGGGGGGGTTTACAGCTTATTTTAGAGGATGGTTTGGTGTTCAGGTAGAAGAGGCTTAAGGGGTTGTTTAATGTAAGAAATACATTGTTACACTGGCCAGCCACACCATACGCACTAGTTTAGAGCTGGCTGAACTTTGTGCAAGCTCCAGGCATCCAGCGCTAAAAACAAACATATTGGCCATTGGCTATTTTTCACCCTTGGCTGCTCTAACTGGGTTCAAACATTTTGCAATATTGAATTTGGTAGTTTGCTTATTATACAGGTGAGATATCCTCAAGGACTGGCTTGAGGACTGTAAGGCAATAAATACAAGTTTGTCGTAGTTGGAAAGTGAAGGTAAAATACTAATCAAAACACAAGAAGCATTTTCATTATAAACAGAAGTGCTTATCATCACCCAGCTGAGAGGACTCCTGCTTTCCTCTTTTCTTTCAACCTTAATTGAAGCAGTAGTGTCTCAGCAGCCTGAAGTTTTGTGACATCTCCTCAGGTTATTTAACCACTTCAAAGTCAAATGTAAGGTGAGCAAACAGTTAAAATGCAGCTTGGTTAAGCTGGATTCCTTCAGCCTATTATAATTCTTATATTATTTTTTACTTGGTCACAGTTTTGCTGACAGTAATGGCATCGGATTAGCCAATTTTAATTAGTTTCATTTTCAAAAGACTCACTCATATTTTTTTCTACCTAAATTATTTTCCGATGTGGCAGATCTAGCCAATTATCTTTAAACACGTTTCCCTTCCATTAATGTGTTTTGTTTCATTTCAGATGTCACAAGGACAGCTGCAAGGAGAAATAGACAGTGCTGGGTTGTAAGGCTGCTATACCCTATTGGCTTGCTTATGGGTTACTGTAGATTAACTGCTTGAAGACCAGGTGTTTAGACCCCCTTCTTGGCCAGGCCATTTTTCAGTATTCAGCGCTGTGGTATTTTGACTGACGTTTATTCCGTCATGCAACGCTGTACTGAAATTAATTTTATACCATTTTTTGGGGACACATGGAGCTTTCTTTTGGTGGTATTTAATCACCACTGCAGATTTTATTTTTTACTATAATTAGGAAAAATTACTGAAAATTTTGAAACAAAAAAGTTTTTTTTTACATTATGTTAGGAAACATTTATTATTACCCAGTTTTTTGGTAAAATATAAAAGACCGGGTCACGTCGGGTAAATAGACACCAAACATGTCAAGCTTTAAAATTGCACGCACCCGCGAAATCGCAGAAAACTACCATACCAAAAATTGGCCATAGGTGACGCTTTTAAAGCTTTTACCGCTCATTCAGTGACTTCACACTAGATGGTAGATTTACTAAAGAAGTGAAGTATGTCCAAACTACAAAAGTACATTTTCACTTTGCAAACTGAATGAGGTGAAGCTATGCTGACTTGAATCATCATGTGTGAGAAAAAATCCTGTTGGTTTTCATTCTCCTTGCACTTTATTGGGTATTCTTTGCAAAGTGAATTTTCACTTTGCTTCACACCATTCACCAAGTTGTGAAAATTCAATATGCAAAACATGCTCTACTCTTTTAGTAAATCAACCTTACTGTTTCCCAGCTTTGAAATGCAGTGTGAGAGTTCCGGCAACAACTGTCAAACGTTAAATGACTTCTCAACCCCTGTGACTTTGAATACTCATACTAAGATAAAGTAACCAAGATGAATAAGGGGACAAATATATATCTTTCATAATTAAGCCTTCACAATTTTAATTTATGACTGTACAAGCCACATTCTAACTGGCTGCATTCAAGTGGAAGTAAACTGCCACAACAAAATAAAAACTTTGAACCCCCAGGAGTTGTTTGCCTTCATGTGCTAGTATGCGTGGCATATTTACACATTATGGCAGACTTTCCTTGCAAGCGATCCCCTCCAGCACAGTGATTTCAAACCTCTTCCTTAGGGTGCCCACACACCTTACGATAATTGTGGGAAATCCCGCGATCGTACGATTCTCGTAAGGCGTGTGGAAGCCGTGCGACCTCTACTACTGTAAGGTCGCACGACTTTTAACTTACGAACATGTTTGAAAACCCGCCAAGCATTGTACGATGTTCGGGGGGTGTGTAGCATGTTCGTAAGATAAAAGCCGGACGGGCCGGTGTGCGCAAGCGCACACTGCCCGTTCGGCATTGCGGTCATCGGAAGCCCTCCCCTCAGGGGGGCGCGGCTTGCGATCATCGCAAGTACGATCTGCCTGTCCAAGATAGGCAGATCGTACGTTTTTTTAAGTACCTTACAACCATCACAAGACAAAAGTCTTGCGATGGTTGTAAGGTGTGTGCCCAGCATTATACGAGAGCTTCTTCCAGGTTAAGAGTCTTTGTCCTCTTGATTAGCCAAGCTGGGATGATGTAACTCCTGCACATGAGCAAGGGAGTTACTTCATCATTGGCACACAACCATGCTGAGTCTGTACACTGAGCTGTGCATGCGCAAATGCTGGCAGGCTGGGAGAAGCAATTATGACAGAAGAGATGTACAGAATCTCTTCTGTCATAAAAACCCTACTTGTCAGTGTTTTAAGAAAAATTACTTTACTTCCACAAGTAAAGTGGGCTCTATGTTTGCTTAGTAAGAAGTTATTTAATATGGGGACATGCTAACATTAGTATGAACATGTTAGTGTAAACAAACTGATTCAATAGGCTTACCTTCATCACATCACCAGGAAGTCAAACTTTATTAAAGTGACATTAAAGTCACAATCCCCCCCCCCATGATGCTGTAAGGTCTTACCTCAAATTATGCCTCTTGATCCGATCATCTTCTTCCTTCCACTTGTTTCCGGCAATCCCTCCAGGGCTGGTGCCAGTCTTTGATCCAGCGCAGACTGCTGTCTCTTCCTCTCCCACGGTGTCTGTCCAACGTGCATGCTCCCGGCTGCATGCATTGACTTACAGTGTGCCTCTCTCCTCCCCACCGGTGATCTTTACTGCGCATGCGCCCACACTCATGGCTATTCGGGGAAGCTGATTTCTACAGCCGGAGGGAGCTGTAGAGACAGAGGTAAGTTTTTACCTGTTTGGTAACTTTTATTTATTTAAATGTTTTTGCATATATCTACTGCTTGCTAGCAATATATATAATAAATACACTTGTGCCAAAGTCACATTGTGCTGTAGCACACCTCCCAACTTTCTGACATACTGTATGTACATAGGGCACCTTTTATCAGATTGTATGTAGGCAT